ATGGTATATTTATGTTGTAGTGACTACAGGGACAGGATGGTATATTTATGTTGTAGTGACTACAGGGACAGGATGGTATATTTATGTTGTAGTGACTACAGGGAAAGAATGGTATATTTTTGTTGTAGTGACTACAGGGATAGAATGGTATATTTATGTTGTAGTGACTACAGGGACAGGATGGTATATTGTAGTGACTACAGAGACAGGATGGTATATTTATGTTGTAGTGACTACAGGGATAGAATGGTTTATTTATGTTGTAGTGACTACAGGGACAGGTTGGTATATTTATGTTGTAGTGAATACAGGGACAGGATGGTATATTTATGTTGTAGTGAGTACAGGGACAGGATGGACTATTTATGTTGTAGTGACTACAGGGACAGGATGGGATATTGTAGTGACTACAGGGACAGGATGGTATATTTACGTTGTAGTGACTACAGGGACAGGATGGACTATTTATGTTGTAGTGACTACAGGGACAGGGTTGACTATTTATGATGTAGTGACTACACGGACAGGATGGTATATTGTAGTGACTACAGGGACAGGATGGTATATTTATGTTGTAGTGACTACAGGGACAGGATGGTATATTGTAGTGATTACAGGGACAGGATGGTATATTTATGTTGTAGTGACAACAGGGACAGGATGGTATATTTATGTTGTAGTGACTACAGGGACAGGGTGGACTATTTATGTTGTAGTGACTACAGGGACAGGTTGGTATATTTATGTTGTAGTGAATACAGGGACAGGATGGTATATTTATGTTGTAGTGATTACAGGGACAGGATGTAGTGACTACAGGGATAGAATGGTATATTGTTGTGACTACAGGGACAGGATGGTATATTTATGTTGTAGTGATTACACGGACAGGATGTAGTGACTACAGGGACAGGTTGGTATATTTATGTTGTAGTGATTACAGGGACAGGATGTAGTGACTACAGGGATAGAATGGTATTCATATTTTCTGTTGTAGTGTTTGGATGGCCCAGATCCTCCGTCTTTCCGCCCTGAACTGCTGTATGTGCAATCGAAACATCAATCACACGACCTCCATTTGATGCAGGTATCTATAGGGAACAAGACATTGTTTAGTATGACATAAAATGTCTGTACATATAATAGGTGTGATGGATTCAGGTCACCACAGACATGTTCATTACTGTAAAGCCATTCTATATTTATATTCCTGTTTGTTTCCCAGTATAATTCTTGGGCTGTTATAGTTTCAGGATAACCATTATTGGTAATGGTAGACAAATGTGTCGGTAGATATAGAACTTTTCAGTGAGATAACAAAAGTGCTGAGATTTCGTCAAATTAACGAACAAATATTGACAAATGAGATTTTTGAAATTTGAATCAAGAAAATGTAAATAAGCATTTGATAATAATTTTGAGCAGTCTGATTTCCTTCTAGGCTATTAGTGAGACTGTGAGCAGTCTGATTTCCTTCTAGGCTATTAGTGAGACTGTGAACAGTCTGATTTCGTTCTAGGCTATTAGTGAGACTGTGAACAGTCTGATTTCGTTCTAGGCTATTAGTGAGACTGTGAACAGTCTGATTTCCTTCTAGACTATTAGTGAGCCTGTGAGCAGTCTGATTTCCTTCTTGGCTATTAGTGAGACTGTGAGCAGTCTGATTTCCTTCTTGGCTATTAGTGAGACTGTGAGCAGTCTGATTTCCTTCTTGGCTATTAGTGAGACTGTGAGCAGTCTGATTTTCTTCTAGGCTATTAGTGAGACTGTGAGCAGTCTAATTTCCTTCTAGGCTATTAGTGAGACTGTAAACAGTCTGATTTCCTTCTAGGCTATTAGTGAGCCTGTGAGCAGTCTGATTTCCTTCTAGGCTATTAGTGAGACTGTGAACAATCTGATTTCCTTCTAGGCTATTAGTGAGACTGTTAGCAGTCTGATTTCCTTCTAGGCTATTAGTGAGACTGTGAACAGTCTGATTTCGTTCTAGGCTATTAGTGAGACTGTGAACAGTCTGATTTCGTTCTAGGCTATTAGTGAGACTGTGAACAGTCTGATTTCGTTCTAGGCTATTAGTGAGACTGTGAACAGTCTGATTTCGTTCTAGGCTATTAGTGAGACTGTGAACAGTCTGATTTCCTTCTAGGCTATTAGTGAGCCTGTGAGCAGTCTGATTTCCTTCTTGGCTATTAGTGAGACTGTGAGCAGTCTGATTTCCTTCTAGGCTATTAGTGAGACTTTGAGCAGTCTGATTTCCTTATAGGCTATTAGTGAGACTGTGAGCAGCCTGATTTCCTTCTAGGCTCTTAGTGAGACTGTGAGCACTCTGATTTCCTTCTAGGCTGTTAGTGAGACTGTGAGCAGTCTGAGTTCCTTCTAGGCTATTATTGAGACTGTGAACAGTCTAATTTCGTTCTAGGCTATTATTGAGACTGTGAACAGTCTGAATTCGTTCTAGGCTATTAGTGAGCCTGTGAACAGTCTGATTTCGTTCTAGGCTATTAGTGACACTGTTAGCAGTCTGATTTCCTTCTTGGCTAATAGTGAGACTGTGAGCAATCTGATTTCCTTCTAGGCTCTTAGTGAGACTGTGAGCGGTCTGATTTCCTTCTAGTCTATTAGTGAGACTGTGCACAGTCTGATTTCCTTCTAGGCTCTTAGTGAGACTGTGAGCGGTCTGATTTCCTTCTAGTCTATTAGTGAGACTGTGATCAATCTGATTTCCTTCTAAGCTATTAGTGAGACTGTGAGAAGTCTGATTTCCTTCTAAGCTATTAGTGAGACTGTGAGCAGACTGATTTCCTTCTAGGCTGTTAGTGAGACTGTGAGCGGTCTGATTTCCTTCTAGACTATTAGTGAGCCTGTGAACAGTCTGATTTTCTTCTAGGCTATTAGTGGGACTGTGAGCAGTCTGATTTCCGTCTAGGCTATTAGTGAGCCTGTGAACAGTCTGATTTCGTTCTAGGCTATTAGTGAGCCTGTGAGCAGTCTGATTTTCTTCTAGGCTATTAGTGACACTGTTAGCAGTCTGATTTCCTTCTTGGCTATTAGTGAGACTGTTAGCAGTCTGATTTCCTTTTAGGCTATTAGTGAGACTGTGAGCTGTCTGATTTCCTTCTAGACTATTAGTGAGCCTGTGAACAGTCTGATTTCCTTCTTGGCTAATAGTGAGACTGTGAGCAGGCTGATTTCCTTCTAGGCTGTTAGTGAGACTGTGAGCGGTCTGATTTCCTTCTAGTCTATTAGTGAGACTGTGAGCAGCCTGATTTCCTTCTAGGCTCTTAGTGAGACTGTGAGCTGTCTGATTTCCTTCTAGTCTATTAGTGAGACTGTGAGCAGGCTGATTTCCTTCTAGGCTGTTAGTGAGACTGTGAGCGGTCTGATTTCCTTCTAGACTATTAGTGAGCCTGTGAGCAGTCTAATTTCCTTCTTGGCTATTAGTGAGACTGTTAGCAGTCTGATTTCCTTCTTGGCTATTAGTGAGACTGTGATCAATCTGATTTCCTTCTAAGCTATTAGTGAGACTGTGAGAAGTCTGATTTCCTTCTAGTCTATTAGTGAGACTGTGAGAAGTCTGATTTCCTTCTAGGCTATTAGTGAGACTGTGCACACTTCTTTTTTGGTTTACGTCCAAAGATAACAAATAAAAACTAACATTTACATTTATCCAAAACTTCTTGCTCTCTGAAGTAAATATTGCTAAATGTTTCCTTTTGATAACAGTTGCTGAAGTGGTTTTCACGGCACGGAACAGTAGATGTTCAAATAACAGATTCACAAAGAGCTTTGGTAGCTGCTTCAAATTACAGATGGTAAGAAAACAAACTGTCTCCATGATGACAACACATGTCTGATCATTGATACCAATATATTCATGAAGAACTTATTTTGGTTTCATGAGTTATTCCCCAGCCCCCTTTAAACATTTTTTACTATATTTAGCTTATTTAAATTTAAGCAGAATTAATATCAAATTGAAGAGATAAGCACATTTGAATTTGTTCACAACAATGGAAAATAATATGCAGAAACTTCTATTTTATCTATCATTAAAGACAAAAACAAAAAATACTTTTCATGAAAGATGTAGCAGGCATAGCACTGTGTCTGGCAAGATGCAGTGGAGATGGCTTGATATCTGCAGACATTCTTGATACACCGGGGTTACGCTCACTTTCTCTCTCTGCACTCCTGTAATATGTCATAGCAAAATTGAAGGCATAAAAATAGCTGTTTGATTGGTGTAGGGTAAAAAAAGCCTGACCAATCGCTCGGGTGATGCCTGTCCTTTGAAGATTGAAGATTTAACTTGCTGCTCATTCAGAATTTTTAGAAAAAGTGCTGTTGATCAATGGGATCAATGTTTTTATCTCACGACTGACAAAGCTTCACTATTTTATATATATATATATATATGTATATATGTCGCTTCCTGATCCACAAGAAGGTTAATCTTTAAGTTTTGGATAACTCCAAAAGTTTTGGACAGAGAGAGCAATCTGTTGAAGCGGCAGATGAAGGAAGCCATCTGGATATGTCGCAGTGGGCCAGTTCTAGATCAAGCAAGGGGGCTCAAAGACTCTTGCACATTTATGACCAAGTATTAAACAAAGTGTAGCTGATTGGAGTCATTTCGGTACATATAAAACAACTATTGTACATGCGCCTACAGTGTAGCCGAAATCCACATCAATTTTGTGGACAACTTGTACACATTTTACACCTTTGTGTGCATACGCTTCACTGGTCATTAGTCTGATGAAGGTGACAGTGTACATATCGTACAAGTCATCGAAACGTCACATAGAAAATTGTATTGATTGTGTAAAAAGAACTTTTCATAATCCATACTTACCAACCTGAAGTAAATCTTTAGAAATCTCCAATGTTTATAACTGGTTCTTTTTCAGTTCTAAAGAAATACTGAAAGCCTTTCAAAACCACAAAATGATCACAGTGACCAAGTACAACAAATGGAAACACTCCCCCGTAATCAGGAGATATCTCTGGTGTGTATAACGACTTACTGACATAATCACTGGTAAATTCATTATTGGAAATATAAGCCCTGAAATTAGAGGCAGTCTTCAAAATTTATACTTGATGTAGCATCTTGTGTAGACTGTAATACATTGATTTAAGTGGTATATAAAACTATATAAGGTTTAGTTACAAGAGCTTCAACTCAACAGTTTATACATGTACTGGTAATAGGTATATTGTATTTGGTATAATTTGTTGTATCGCAGTATAAAGTTAGACAGTGTATAATAGGTATATTGTATTTGGTATAATTTTTTGTATCGCAGTATAAAGTTAAACAGTGTATAATTGGGATATTGTATTTGGTATAATTTTTTGTATCGCAGTATAAAGTTAAACAGTGTATAATTTGTATATTGTATTTGGTATAATTTTTTGTATCGCAGTATAAAGTTAAACAGTGTATAATAGGTATATTGTATTTGGTATAATTGGTTGTATCACAGTATTAAGTTAAACAGTGTATAATTGGTATATTGTATTTGGTATAATTTGTTGTATCACAGTATAAAGTTAAACAGTGTATAATTGGTATATTGTATTTGGTGTGATGTTTTGTTATGTGTTAGGTGTATAGTAGAGTTTATAGCTACAATAAATAGATTTACCCTGTTGACTTTCTTCAGGGCCGGAGCCATCCTGTCAGGTGGAGCTTGTGTACTGGCTTTATTATCCAGTCGTAAGAAGGATTGAGGATTGTCGGAACAGCTTGACAATTACCAACTTCCAGAGACCGTCCTACATATCGAACCGGGCCTATGATTAGTAGGAGAAATATGAACAAGTCCTACATAACCAACCCGGTCTTTGATTAGAAGGAGAAATATGAACAAGTCCTACATAACCAACCCGGTCTTTGATTAGAAGGAGAAATATGAACAAGTCCTACATTGCGGATGGGCTGACCAGTTGTAGGCAAAACATTCAGATCCTACACAAAGAACGGGGCGTAGGATTTGTAAGAGATACATGAACAGTTCCTCCATATGGTTTGGGCTTGTCATTTGTACGAGACACATTCAGATCCTTCTGAATGTGTCTATAATCTTTGTAAGAGAAACAGATACACATTTTTAAGAACAAGGCCTACCTATGGTTATTACAGGAGGTACAGATCCTATGTGAGGGACAATCACATGGATATGATTTGTAGAGACACATACAGACCCCCTACTTAAGGGACAGGCCTCTGATATTTGGAGGGGAATTATATACAAATCTTACATATAAAGGAACAATGACTTGGATGTATGTTATAACACACACTGATAACTGACAGTGCTGTTGTCCTTTTTTATTTTGGTTAGTGAACTGCCATTGAAGTTTGGTTTGTTTTATACTTCTAATTATTTCATATTTTATATCATAAAAAATCTTATTTGTCACTTAAAAGAACATCTTCAGAGGCGCCCCTGTCATTCCTCATTTCATTGCAATCTACAGATATGGTGTAACAGTGGAGTAGATAATTGTGTAATATGTTACCTTGACACTTAACCAGATGACCTTGACATGCTGAACTTGTTTGTGTAGAGGTCAGAATGTTAACCTTTATGTTAGCTTTCAAGTGGAGGTTAATATATGTTTAACATGTAGGACATTTATAGTTGATTATTAGTCCTACATTAAGATTTTAAGTCACATCTAATTACCTAGGTATTAGGGTTAACATTGAAGTACAACCTAGGAGTAGGATGCTAGGCATTTGAATTTGATTGGTCATGCCACTAAGCATCATGACCCTGTGACATGTAACTGAGGTAATACCAGTTCCTGCTATGTCCTGTGTACCAGACACCAAAGACTGTTAGGTTGGATTTCACTATGGTCAAGCTTTTAGGATAATGAATTGAGCTAGTCTTGAAGCAAAATGCAAGCCTTGTAGTTCAATAAAATATATTCAAATATTGAAAACAAGCCTTATACTTTCATTAAACATATTCAAATATTGTGAAATATTGAATTGTACTAGAAACAATTTGAAGATGTTTGACAATGTCAATGTCAGCACAAACAGTGACTGTGATATAATTTCCTATTGTTGACATGATGTTATTTCATTGATGACTGCTGGTATCACCGAGGGTTACCCAACATAAACCAATGTGCAATGGATTACAATTGGTAGGACCATTGAAGTGAGGCGGACCCAATACCATTGTATCTTAAGATAAGTGGTGCAGATGTTTTCAGTAAAGGCAAAGAATCTAAATCAGTTCAGCACCCATGTTCTATATATATCAAAATGGTGGTTAATAGTAAAAACAAATCAAATGTGGGCCCTGGTGAACTGTGCTGTTTCTAGGTCTGCATTTCTTGAATGCACATGTACATTTTCAAGGTTAAGAAGACCTAACCCTTTCACCACTATAGACCATAATGGACTCATCCATATCAATGCATGGTAGAGTCTACTAAAATTACATAGGGGTGAAAGGATTAGACTCAGGAAAATAATGCTGTGTTGAATATGATTGTGATATCAACTGATAAACTTGTGCTGAAAATTGTTTATTGGAGATAATAAAGATGTTTAATTGATTAAGTGATGTCAGAATGAGTCTTTGTAGTCCATGTTTTATCACACTTACGACTTAAGTTTCCATACCTGCCAGCATCGTGGTATAGAACTTTGTTCAGGGGAGGTGTTAAACCACTTGCCCTATTATAACAAGTAGAAACTAAAATTGCATCAGATCTTATTATATTCCGTCTTTGCGTATTGCAGAGTTATCTTCTCTTGTGAGCAGGTATTGAATGTTACCTCATTGGTTTGTGTGAGAAAATTAGTCCTTTTCTCAAAATTGATGACGTTACTCTCACAAACAAATAGCATAACAATCAATACCTGCTCACAAGAGCAGATAACTCTGCAATACGAAAAAAGCAGAAATTATATCTTATATGTTAATTCCACCATTTCCTCATGTAAACATATTTTATTAGCAAAAATCACAAAAGGGATTTGACACTTAAAGTTCATCTTCTCCCTGGCAGCTGGGTTGTTGCCTTGTCCCTAAATGAAACCAAAAACAAACAAAACAATCATTCCTTATACTTGTAAACCATCTGTCAAACAGGATATGACAGTCGGACATGAATTTGTAAAGAGACAATGGAGATAATACCCAGAGAAAGTGGGTCAGTTCTTAAGTATGACATTATGATGCTTCGACCAAGAGAGCGCATCTATCCAAGTCCTGTGAACAGGATCCTATCCTTATGTAGCTTTAAGATAATATCTAAAATATGTGTTCCCTCTGAAAAGCTACACTATCAACAACAAAACTATAGGGGTTTTGACATCTTTGGAGGACAACCTTTATTTGCTATGCTAACGATTGAAGAAACTTGGTTTAGATAAGGACAAGTGAAAAATCTACCGACCTGTGCCGAACATATGCATGAGAGACACAAGCACCATCATCGTACCAACAGACCCAAAACTGTGACATGTACACCCTTATATCTAGCTACATACTCACATTTCCCCCTTCACCATTACTCAATGGAACCTCTTACCGGTAGCAGCAGTACAAACCACAACGCTCGACTACAAGGACTAGGATTACAAGGCTCATATTTTTTACACAGCCCTTGAAGATCTCACACTCTTATCATTAATACACCTATATGTTTACCCTCTTTCATCTAAACTACTATAAAACTAATCAAAAAGGACATCACTGTACATTTATTTCACGCAATGTTGTTAACCAAACAGTATTGGAATAATCGTCAAGACTGATGGCACCAATAAATCATAGAAGAAATTGTGTTTCGTGTTCGAAAGCCCAAACTTAGTTGCAAAGAGACTTTAGAAACACCCTGCAGACAATATTCTCCCGTATAACCTACAATCTGATTACTGTTTATGCCAGCACTTTCTGTCGACATAAGTTCCTGGATTCAGTCCAATGTGACGGAAAGAAAGCACAAGTGGCAGTATACATAGGCAATGCTGTCTCTGATGACCAAGCTCTTGACTTCGTTCGAAACAAAATGGAGACATCTTTAGCAGATACCAAAGTGCACGTGGTCATCGGTCCTCTAAATGACTTTGATTTTAGTCTTATTTTGATTGGGACCTTGCTTGTTATCCAACAGTTTTTGAATGAGTTCCAAATTGTTAAAATTGAACCCCGACTTACAGAGCAGAGCTAGTGTTAATCCTGAATACCCGAAAAGAAGATACTGTATATTGTCATAAAGACTCGATCTGCCTTTTGTGAGGAATACGTGTGTCTTCTTCAACTCGTTCACCCCTGGAATTTCATAATGAACTATTCCAACCTTTGAATGGGAAGAACTCAAATGTGTCTTAAGGGGTGAAGGAGTTAATAATTCCCGTACAATTAAAAAAGGTACATCAGTTGCTAAATTCGTGTTACTTCCTAGTCAGGGTAGCGGCTGCTGCTTCCGTCAGTTTCTGACCAAAGACGCCTACAGGACACTGATCCATGCATTTGTTACACATAATGACATTGACTCTTTTTTACAAATTGCCAAACGTACAACGCATAAATACTAACGTTGACTTTCTTAATAATACTAATATAATCCGAGGTTCTTCTTTACCGCTACATCACAACATAGTCCGTAGATCGTCTCAAAGCGATTCACAAATTATTATCCGTGGTTATAGGGCCTTTGCAACCAGCCAATATCGTTCTCAACTCCCTGGGGAGCATACAGTCGGTGCCGCTCACAGCTAGCATTCTACAATTCTAGCACTGCCCGACAACCCCCGGCGTCCTACCACTAGACTATAACGTGCCTCCACGGAGTGGGTGCTTCCGTCAGTTTCTGACCAAAGACGCCTATAGGACACTGATCCATGCATTTGTTACACATAATGACATTGACTCTTTTTTACAAATTGCCAAACGTACAACGCATAAATACTAACGTTGACTTTATTAATAATACTAATATAATCCGAGGTTCTTCTTTACCGCTACATCACAACATAGTCCGTAGATCTTCTCAAAGCGGTTCACAAATTATTATCCGTGGTTATAGGGCCTTTGCACCCAGCCAATATCGTTCTCAACTCCCTGGGGAGCATACAGTCGGTGCTGCCATTTCGTTATCTCTTGAAAATGTATACCAAACATGAAAAAGAACAATCTCACACATCGTGTAGTAAAAGCCTGGAATGAACAACCAGAGGGTGTTGGAGTGTTCTCTATCGATGAACTGTATATAAACCGGTTACATACGCGCTGGGAAATTCATTTGTAAGAGCATCGAGTGCTTTCGTAATGCATCGTTATATTTGTGGTTGTGTGGTGTATAGGATTCGTATCCTTTATCAGCAATATATCACAATGATGGTGCTATTGGTGGTCGTGTGGATAGAGCGTATCCGATCGGACGTGAAAAGATATTGGCCACCTGCCCGATCACGTGGGGACGAATCAAGCAAACTAGTGACATTACCCAGTTCATCATATGTCAGCTTCATTGGCAAATAGATCATACAATATCAAGACTTTGAGTTAGAGTTAAGACCGTGAAATCCAAGGCATAGATGTATCAACATGAGATCAACTTATACTTACTTGGCTTTTGATCTTGTACATTATATAAGTAGCCACAGCGAAGAAACAAAGAAATCAAAGGTACAAATTACCAACATTAACTCATCCTTGACTGACTTTGCCTTTGATCTTGTATGAAGTAACCATAACAACGGTAGAGGCTATGTCGAGAGAAGAAGATCAACAGGTCCAAGTGCAGATGCATTGGATATAATACCAAGAATTCACAAGCGTGTGTCTTTGCAGCAAGTCTGCCAAACTTCAGCCTCCAAGATCATGATTTTGTCGCGAAAGAAGAAATATCAAGGACCTCGAGGAACTTCAAACACAAGAGGAAATTGTGAGCTAGTAATGCAGATACCAGATGTAGTGAGTTAGTAGACTAAGACACCTGACATCGTTGGACATGTGTGGCGGTCAGACAGGGACTAGGGTTACGCTCACTTGCATACGGTATATTCACCCCTGAAATATCCCACAATGCTCCAGGGTTTATGTTCACTTCCCGCTATCCCTTGAATATGTCATAGCAAAATTGAAGGCACGCAGCTAGCCATTTGATTGGTCTCGTGTAAAAACACATGACCGATCGCTAGGCTAATGCCTGTCCTTTGAAGATGACAGAGGAGTGACGCCCGACTTAAAAGCCAATACATTTTACCGTTACGCGACCGACAGATTCTTTTGATGTACATCAAAGGACCAAGCTATAATATTCTCGTCTTATCCACTGATGCACACGAAGCCTTCGATTTTGCCATGACATTACATATGCAAGGGATGCAGAGAGCGAAAAGGTGAGCCTAACCTTAGCAGTATCGCGGATGCCCTGAAATATGTTATAGCAAAGCTGAAGGCTGAAGTTATTTGATTGGTTTCAGGTGAAATAAACTGACCAATCACTATGCAGATATACCTGACCCTTGAAGATTACAAAAGAGCGACACCCGACTTAAAAGCCTGTCAATTTTATACTCATACGTTACCTCGCGATTCTTTTGATATATTAAAGGATCAAACTAGTCTACTTGTATCAGATCTACAAGGTGGCGCTTACGGAGCCTTCGATTTCGTCATGACATCTTCCTGTTGCTAAGTTAGCCAGCTGTACTGTTGCCTGGTGCTGTCACTAGTCTCTCGACTTTTCTTCCTTCTGTATCTTTTCCCTTGGACATATCCTACTATATACTCCACAAAGGTGTCTTTGATGGTACCGACGTCTGATCTTGGCGTTTATCTTTGCCTCCTCATTTTTTTATTTTTGCTTTCCCGACGAAGCAGAAGCAATTTCCTATAATACCTATAATACTTCTATCATGGTACCCATCACATGTTTTCCATTTCCTAAATGTTTTGACTTTCAACGTCCTGAACCTCCCTCAATGGCTCGTGCTTTCCGAAGAAGAAGCACTTGCCACCTTGAACTCTTCTGTCAGTTACTTCTTGTCAATGTCAGTTGCAGCTTCGTGTCTTCATCATGCAGTCCGTTGTCTGATGAGTGAAGCTCCTTCATTGTCATACCCGTCTATCAGCATATACACATACTGTAGGCCGCCCTCTCTATTTCCTTTACTACCTCTACTGCCATCTTGACGTCTGCCACCTTAACCGCCATGGTAGCTACTTAATTACATCCTGTGATCCCTAATTATATCAGTATGGTATGTCAGAATGTATCGATAATGTCTAGTAGACGCTTATAGCTTGTTAATTACTTCCTTTAAATTTGTCTAAAAAGAGATCACGTGTCACATAAATTATATTGTCTAACGAACCTGCGTTTTTTTCGAAATTTATTGGTAATTTTGTAGAATTTCGATACATTAGGAGATGATTTCATTAAAGTTAAAAGGGATCAGGGTATATTATTATATATATATACCATAGAAACACCGGTGTGTGCATGGTTGTATTTTACACCGACCAAGTTCAAGTTGCAACGAACCTCTGTGCACTTGAGCCTTACATCGTGATTTCTATCAAAACATCGAAGGGTGTTCTCTTTCCAAAGTCAAGTGTTGTCTTCAAATATACTAAAGAACTTATATAGACAGAAATTCCAGCCAAGAAAATGAATACACACTATCGCAGTAAATAAATATATTCTACAGAAAACAGATTTCAAACAGGTGCGCCAGACTTATCCACTAAGAGTTACTTCCCTTCGCTTATTTTTTTATTCTCGCGAGATATCGGTTGTGTCGCGTGATGTATCATGGATGACAAGGAAGAGGATATATCGCCTCTCGACATGTCATAACTAAATGTTTCGTGGAAATTAATACCAAATCAAGGCGAAATGGGTGGAAAGGAGTCCAAGTTGTCGTACATCCCGTACGAGGATGTTATGAAACGAAGTAAGCAATGCAATCATAGATTTTTGAAAGAATTATTAGCGATTGATCCATTTGTGCATTTGTAAACACTGCAAAAACGGTGACAGATAGTCCGTAGTTGACCAGCATATTTCTTTCGATGATTGTCAAATTGCAGATCCATTTATGATGTGTTTAGTCAGTACATCTATAAGTGATTAACACAAGTTGAATGCAATTTAATTTCTTATGCATTAGGTCACATTATGCAATATATATTGAACTCGGTATGTTACTAATTATGTTAATATACATGTGCAATATCTATTTAAACTGCTATGTCAAAATCGGGGTCACAAGATACCGATTGTTTACACTCTGTTGTTTTCGATTCATATCCTTAATTCTGAAACACAAGCTGTGGTTATCAAATAATGTCTTCTCGTGTACGTGTGTATACGTATTTAGAAATGGCGACACCTGTATTTCTTAATTGTAAACAGTAATTACACAATATCAGGATCCAGATGACAATGTTTGAATGGCTTAGCACTGTCAGAGATAAAACCATCAAGATTTATCACTGCTACAATTTTTTGGTTTCTTAGTTACACAGGTGTAGTTTGTATTGCTTTATTTAAATCAGTGACGGGAATTGAAGGGTAGGTGAAATAGACTGTCTTACGCATACAGCTTAAAAATAATGAAATAAAATATATTTATCCATGTCTATTGGAATAGTTTAAAAATAAAGAGAGATATGATATTGCTTTTCTTTTGAAATTTCATCCTTGAATAAAAGCAATCAGTGATAACACGGGTATAAAACTAATCACAATCATATACAATCAAATGTATATCATGGCTATCAACAAGAATCAGCTGGATGGCTCCAGGTTTAGTTATATGTTTGATTCGTGAGCATAATAATCTGTCTAGAGAGGATCTGACCATATCAGAGCGTACTGCTCCGACGACATGGTGTACATGTCAGGAATGTCCATGGCCAATCAAAAACAAAATAATAATTATAATTTAAGATTGAGTGTACATATTTATATATATATTCATTCAATGTCACTACATGTACACTGAGATATGACAGCACCAGTATTATGTGATGTGGCATGGTCTTAAGCTGGCATAAGTCTTATTGAAATATTTTAAGATTGCATTATACAAATTCTTTGGTCCAAAACATAATTTAATATCATGATGATAGAGGTTTGTTTTAGTTTTATTCAGTTTAAAAATATCTACTAATTACGGTACTGCTGCACATAACATTAAAACATACGTAATATAACAAAGTGTTTTGGTATAATACAAAAACAGAAAATGTATCAGTATTTACCATAATAAACATTGATGATCAAATCTCCATAATTATGTGAAATTGACCTTTGCTCATGTTTGGCATGCTAATAAAGTACTTTACTGGTTTTGATATTACATAAAAATGAATTTGTAGACAGAATATATATATGGCAAGTTTCTAAGAAAAGTTTTAAATATAGACTACCATTAGTTGTAGCTATATATAGGCAAGTTGACAATGTTGGTTATGTTTTAAATTTTGTGAACTTTTTGCATGTTTTTCTAATTGAAAGTGTCACTTCGCTTACTTCATGTATACCAATATGACATATTTAGTATCAAAATAACAGTAATTCTATATACTGTACACTATCATAATTCATTTTCAAAATAACATTCGCCTGTGACATTTATCTGTCATTTTGTTAGGATACCCCCACTACGGTTATCAGTAGTAATTATGAATAATCATTTATGCAGCTATTGATCATTTTTGTGTATCTACATATGGTAAAAGAATAAAAGAAATCAAAGTGGGGGCCAAATGTTGACCCCACCTTTAAACTTTGACATAATTGTTTTAGTGTCCAATTGTCGTTTATTGCTTGACAAAAATGTTAACCAGGTACATGCTGTAACCTTGCGATTGCACTGTTTTCAGAAAACTTAAATACCAATTTATGAGAAAAATAAATCTGCAATCTTCATATCCCAAGAAATTTGTTAAAAATGTTGAGATTCAGAATTTCTTTAGTAAGAAATGATTTACGATCAAAATTGGCATTATTGGTCCATGTGGTAATGATAAAAGATGGTCTCCGAAAAACAGCCTCACTTGAAGTACATGTGTCCCGCGTTGGGACAGTAATACCAGTGGAATCAATATTCTCCTTCGGGATACAAATGTTGCTTAGCTAGGTAAAGGTCTTTCACTTGTTTTAGACAGAAATCTGTTTCACCAGCAAACACTTGAATAGTTTTTTTGGGGGGATTCATCCCAATCAAGTAATTTACAACAAAATCCTTGAATCACAAGTGACATGATCAAGGAGTATTTTAAAATAAGTTGTGTATAAAAAATAAGTCCAGAGCTAGACCTGAGTGATTTCACAAACATTTTAACCTTTGAGAATATATAGTATTGATATATTTTTGTTTCCATTGTTTCAAGAAACTTATCAAATTAGATATCATCTTGTATGTTAACTTTAAGAATAAATCACACATTGACCTTTATTATGAGCACTTCACATGGCCAGCATTTAGAGTACTGTCTGGTTCAGATACTGGTACTCAATTTCTTATGAAACTTTGGCAAATGGAATCAAGCTGTGGAGCCTTCCTCATTGATTTCCATCAAGTTAAAGGGTACTGCTGCATCAGTAAATGTAATACAATCAGGAAGGAGAATCCTCTTCAGAGCAATATTTAGAAGATAAAACAACAGAAAACATGATTTTCTGTCTTTGAGTTATTTCCCTTCTCATGATTTTAATCTCTCATTTTGATGCTATGTATTATTATTCCGAGATAGAAAGATTGGTTACGTATATAAACTGGCAGTGGAAACCATTGTACCTGTAGGCAAAGAGTACACACTGCAGTATTGGTTTAGTTATAATTTCAAATATACAGATACTGTATATATTGAATAACAACAATTCTGTAAAATGCATTACAAGAATATAATTAAAACTTCTCTGGAAAATGACTTATCATAAATATTTCATTGGTGCACATGGGTTATATTATGACATTTACTTTGATTTATATGTAAATACAAATTAAACAGGTTAGAGAGGTAATTTAGATAATGATATATTATGGATATTATATATATATACATGCATAGAATGTATAATATGCATAAGTTTAAGCCCATTTAGACAGGTGTTGTTTGGCCCTAAATTTAAATGCCTCAACAAATAGTCGGCGGGCCGTAAAAAAATACAAAAACAAAACAAACCTTCATTTATATATTTAGCTGTTAGATAAAACCTGGACAAAAATACACTAGATTATAGTTAGGTACAGTTGTCTTTTTATTGTCCTTTTAGGGACAATGTATTGAATTATTGTGTACTTAAAACATATATGTTTACTAGCAGTTTAGGAATATGAAGACCAATACAGTATAAACTTGTATATATATGTATATATGATAAAAAGGGATTGAATGTCCATGTGAAGGAAGTAAATATAGAAAAAATCAGATTAACGACCAACTAAAAAACTAGCTGCTTTCACCCTTCACAGAGCCGTGAAGGGTGAAAGCAGCTAGTTTTTTAGTTGGTCGTTAATCTGATTTTTTCTATATGTATATATGTATAGGAAGGTAAAAGGAGGTTTACAGGAGTGTTAAAAGGCCAATTAGGAGTAAGGTTATTAGGGCTTACTGGAAGGTAAGGGTGCACGTGGGGTTACATGAGAGTAATTACGGTAGGATTTTCATGTATAGGGGGAGGTGGTTGGTAACAGGAAGGGTGTTACAATTGTAGAAGGTCAGGGTGCACGTGGGGGTACATGAGAGTAATTACGGGAGGGATTACATGTATAGGGGAGGTGGTTGGGAACAGGAAGGGTGTTACAATTGTAGAAGATAAGGGAGCACGTGGGGTTACATGAGAGAAATTACGGTAGGATTTACATATATAGGGGAGGTGCACGTGGTTGGTAACAGGAAGCTTAGGGTGTTACAATTGTAGAAGATAAGGGAGCACGTGGGGTTACATGAGAGGAATTACGGTAGGGTTTACATGTATAGGGGAGGTGGTTGGGAACAGGAAGGGTGTTACAATTGTAGAAGGGCAGGGGGCACGTGGGGGTACATGAGAGTAATTACGGGAGGGATTACATGTATAGGGGAGGTGGTTGGGGACAGGAAGGGGGTTACAATTGTAGAAGATAAGGGAGCACGTGGGGTTACATGAGAGGAATTACGGTAGGGTTTACATGTACATTTTGTATAGGGGGAGGTGGTTGGTAGCAGGAAGGGTGTTACAATTGTAGAAGGACAGGGTGCACGTGGGGCTACATGAGAGTAATTACGGTAGGGTTTGCATGTAAAGGGGAGGTGGTTAACGTTGGTAGCAGGAAGGGTGTTACAATTGTAGAAGATAAGGGTGCACGTGGGGTTACATGAAAGTAATTACGGTAGGGTTTACATGTATAGGGGAGGGGGTGAACGTTGGTAACAGGAAGGGTGTTACAATTGTAGAAGATAAGGGTGCACGTGGGGTTACATGAGAGTAATTACGGTAGGATTTACATATATAGGGGAGGTGCACGTGGTTGGTAACAGGAAGCTTAGGGTGTTACAATTGTAGAAGGTAAAGGTGCATGTGGGGTTACATGAGAGTAATTACGGTAGGGTTTACATGTACATTTTGTATAGGGGGAGGTGGTTGGTAACAGGAAGGGTGTTACAATTGTAGAAGAACCGGACTGGGTTCATTGCTGGCGACTACGTTTCCAGTTGGTAGAGCATCTGTCTGGAGTTCGAAGGGTCTGAGGTTTGAATCCAATGCATTGTTCCTTTTCCTGTTACAGTTCAACCCTTGGTTCAAGTACAGGGTGCATTCTTGGCAATTCAAGGGAGTACCCGTATACGTACCTGGGTTGTAAATAGTGTTGTTTTCAGGGGCAAAGACTTACAAAAAGGAGGGAGGAATGTAGAGGAACTGGACAACATTTAGGTCATTTAATTTGCTGAAGACCATATATAT